CCCTCGTAAATCATGCCAGAGAGGAGGCTTCCCAGTCACACAGCTTCCCTTCCTCCTGGCAGAACCCCAGCTCTGTCCCTGTCATAAATCCACCCTGCAGAGCCCAGAGGGTCCTGGGGGCAGGCGAGGAGTAAGTGGAGCCCTACACCCGGGCGAAGCCTCCTGCGGGCTGTTCCAAGCCTCCAGCTAGCAGCTGGCGCTGGCACTGTGCCCTTCTGGGTCTCATCGGCCTTCCTGCCAGAGCGATGCGGTAGTTTCCAGTCCTCCAGTCACCACCCCCATCCCTCTTCCCAGCGGTTGTCAAAGCAACAGGCTAATTCCCTGGGAGCTTCTGGGAGCAGAGACTGCAGGGGTGCACTGAGGTGAGACAAGCACCAGGTCCCACAGAGCTGCCCCCTGGCCCGTCTCCACTGGCCGCAGGGCCCAGGACTGAGAATCACACTTCATCTCTGCATCACAAAAGCTGCCCAGTCCTGGAACAAGAGGAGAGAGGGGTGCAAGGGGCTGGGGCTGTCAGTCTGCACCTGGCAGGCCAGGGTCCACAGCGGACAGACTCCTCCCAGGGCCTGGCCAGCCTGGCTGTCCTCTCCATTCAGGGACCCGTTGAGAACTGGACCAGAGGCTGCCACAACCCGCCAGCTACTGAGCACAGCATGGAGCCCAAGTCCAGCTCTTCCAAGTCCAACCACTTCCCCACGAAGTCGAGTTTTCCCGTGGTGTCGCAGCCACTTGTGCGTGGTGGGAGGGTCCGCCAGGCAGATGAGCCAGTGTGGCTGCTGGGGCTCCTAAGAGAAACCCCGGTGGAGCTGGAGCCGTCCGCCCTATCAGCCACAGTGCAGCCGCACTTGGTCTTGGGGAAGCTTCAGACTCTGGAAGAAGGGGCGTCAGGGTGTTACGTGCCCCTGAACTGGGTCCCGAGGCTGGGAGGCTGTGGGGGAACCTGCCGCACGACTCCCAGGCCTTGGAGAAAGGCTGCGCGTCAAATCGCCACAGGTCTGCCTGGACACTCCCCAAAGGACTGGAGACTCCAGTGAGGCTGGTCTCCTTAAAACATTTAAAGTTAATTGAATGACATTATTCTGAGACTCGGGTGCGAACTTCACCATAACCTCACCTTGTCTCGGGCACTTAGGGTTCCTCCCCTGGAGCGAGCAGGGGTCAGTGCCCGGGGACCGGCCACCGTAACGTCAGGGAGCGCGGCAAAGCTTCTCCAGATCCCAGGCTCCCTCGAGGGCCACGCCTGCCGTGACCACCTCCTTGGCTCTGGCCCCCTGAGATCTCCAGCCGGGGCCTCTCCTAGAGCAGCTGGCTTTGGAGAGAGCTGGTGGGTTCTTGGAGGAAGGGGAGAGAGAGCAGCCATTCCTCCACAGCCACAGTCTCCCGATAAGAACGGCTGGCGTGCGTCACGCTGAGGAGGAGTGCAGAGGAAGTCCAGKGCAGYGCTCACCCCTTCCCCTCCKCCCCAGCCCGYGGCATGAAGAAGGCTGCAGGGCTGTAAAATGCTGAGCTATCCCTCTCTGATTCAGCAGCTGTGGTGGGTCCCATGAGGCTGCTGCTGCTGGGGCCCACTGAGAACCTGTCTCTGCTCTGCCTCTGAGAGACTCTGCTGCCCCTCACCCTCCCCCAGCCCAGAACCGGAGCTCCAGGAAGGCCTGAGTGACAGGGGGTCAAGGGTCGCGCGTTTCCTCTCCTGGGTGGAAGCTAGAGAGGAAGTAGGAAAAGACCAGAGACCAGCGCAGAAGAGGAAAGGAGCAGGGAGGGAGGTGGGTGGGGACAAAGGGTGTCCTGGGGAGTGACACTGGCCTAATTATACTGTTACACTGTGTGTGTGTGTGTGTGCCAGTATGTGACGATGCATCCCACCACTACGTACAGCCATAACGCACCAACACAAAATGTGGCAAACAAAGCAAATAGGAAGGAAGGAAGGAAGGAAGGAAGGAAGGCAGCCGTGAGTCATGCTGAGCAGCCTCTTGAGACGGCTCTAGTGGCCAGTCCTCCAGGAGGCCCAGCCACTCCTCAGACAGTGCTGAGGCAAGGCCTGGGCAGCTTCCCGGGGCCGGGTCCCAGCCTCCCCGGAGCCTCTCCAGGCGAGCAGACACTAGGGCCAGGCAGGGCCCGCCCCTTTTCCTATTTTCCTATTCTATGCTCCTATTTTGTTAAAAACACACTGTTGCTAATCAAGAGTAAGCTTCATCTGTTTGCGTAAACGATTCCCATGATGTTGGTGAAGTTATAAGTCCCCAGGTTAGTTTATAAACTGCTCTTCCACTCACTCAGAGTGACTTCAGACCTGCGTGACAGCAGAATGCATGTGTTCATGGAAATCAGAGCCAGACAAAGCTCCGACTCGGCCACTCGGCAAGACGAGGCAGGGTGAAGCTGGCACATGGAGATGAAAACCTGATGAAGACTCAGTGAAGGAGACGCAACAGACTGAGATTCATGGTTCCGAGGAGGCTCTGTGGCATGCACTCTCTGAAGGACACTCTGTGGTTAAAAAGCTCACCACAGATGTGGCCCACAGCATTCCATAATACCCCCACTAAATGTGGAAATGTCTTACACAGCACTTCCAGAGCTGCCCCCAGCGTGCACCTCAGGTCTGCAGAATACAGACCTCCAGGGACCTACGGGACCTTCGCATCAGGCAGGCACCTGCCTGGAGCAGGTTTGCAGCCAGTATTTGGAGGGTGACTACTCTGCCATGTGGCTTTCGCCTCCATGCCTGCAAGTCAGTATGAAGCACCATAGCTGCACGGTTCCCAGTGCCCCTGATGGGCACCTGGGCCACTGTGGGGCTCCACTCACCAACTGGGACTCACTTCAAGACTGCCACTAGCCCACCTGGCGACACTCATCACACAGTCTGATTTAAAAGTCCAGGCCTGGTGACGCACCCCTGTAATCTCAGCAGCTCGGGGGGCTGAGGCAGAAGGATTGCAAGTTCAAAGCCAGCCTCAGCCACTTCCTGAGGTCCTCAGCAACTTCATAAGACACCCATCTCAAAATAAAAACAAAATTTAAAAGGGGTAGGGTTGTGGCTTAGTGTCAAAGTGCCCCTGGGTACAACCCCTGGTACCCCCCAAAAATTAGAAATTAAATATCCAGCTTTTGTCAAAAAACTCATGGACTCTCATCCAGAACGCTCATCAAATAACCCCTCAGCTAAGCTGGGTCTGGGGCACCCCCCTCTGACACTCTTCAGACCCTTCGTGGGTGCCAGGGAGCCCTGAGGCCAACATCAGGAGGCTGGGTTCTCATCCTGTCCCCTAACGCAGTGGCCCTGGGGCTCACTCCCCTCAGCCTTGGCTTCTCATTGGCCAAAAGGAGAGAAGGAAGCACACAAATACCCTCCTGACTAAGAAGGAACAAATGCCGCCTCCTGTCTCTGGCCGTGGTCTCCACCAGCTCTCCTGGAGGTGGGAGGTGTGGGGTAGCCGTGTGATTCCCCGTGGCCACTGTGGCGCAGGAGGAGCAGCACGGTGGGTCAGGAAGCCGTCACAGCGCGTCTACACGGTTGGTCTTTGGAGCTTGGCGACCTGGTGGATACCAGGAGCTGATATGAAGAAGACTGTGCCCGAGAGCCAAGGGGCGTGACCCCAAAACTGCACCTTGAGATGGAAACCGGAGACGGTCGGAGCAAAACTCAGGAGGCGGCCTGCTAACACCCCCAACTGCACTCGGCCTCTCAGTCCCTCACCAAGGGCAGCGAGGTCTGTTTAAAGGCAGGAGTGGCCGGCCGGCAGGGACCCTCTCGCCCAGCCTGACTTACAACTCACCAGGGGTGCTGCTTGCAAGCCCACCCAGGAGCAGGGAGCTCTAACAGGCCGGCCCAGCTTCCAGGCTCCCCTCGCCGGTGTCCTGGCCAAGATGCTGACCTCCGAGGTCAGGGATGAGCGGGGAGGAGGGGTCCACCTGCTGGAGTTCTCAAATTTGCCTCATTTCCACGCGGGCCCCACTCACAGAGGTCAGCTCTGGGTTGAGTTTGACAAAGTCCAGATTCCCCAGGGATTTTTCTTGATTTTAAAAGAAAGAGGTGGGGGAAGAGCCAGTGGTGTGGCTGACCCTGGGAGCGAACCCCAGGACATCGGGGACATCACCAGCCACAGGGGGAAATGACTGGACACCACTGCTCAAGCCAAGCCAACTCCCCAGCCTAGTGGAAATGCACAAGAGACGACGCAGGGTGGTTGTCCAGGGCCTGTTGTGTCGCAGGCACTCTAGGAGGGCCACCAAGGCCCGGGCCCTCTGCTCCCAGTGGCAAGAGTCAAGCTAATTATAGATGCTGCTCATCGCCTGGGCTCTTTGGTCCACCTTGATGCTAATCACAGATGTTTCTCCATAAAAGCACTCCAACAATTTCCTAATTTAGCTTCACTTATTGGGAATTTTCTCCGAACAGTGGTATTCAGATGTTGATTGCCAACAGAGAGGTCTGAAGCCAACTCTTTTTCAAATGACCTGTGGAAATGTGCACATTACCAACTGGGGTAGCCTGGCTACAGGAGGGCTCCACGCGATCCCACCTCCTCCCATCCATACCCTCCTGTGGCCTTTCCCAGAGGATATTCCAGGGTTGGTCAGGGACGGCTAAGTGACTTCTGACTGCCTGCACTAGGTCCTGAGACGCTCACAGCTCTGCCTCACCCTCTCAGATCACCTGAGCTGGGAGGAACTGCCCGCTGCTGTGAGGACAGCTGAGCCCTGTGGATAGCGTACCGCATTTCCAGCCACACGTGGGAAGCAGATACTCAGCCCTGATCGACCCTCCAGTTGACCACAGCCTCAGTTGGCACCATGGCTGCGTGGGGAGACCAGGACAGTGCCACTAATCTACTCCAGAACTCATAAAACAGTAAGTGCTCAGTGTTTAAGCCACTAAGTTGTGGGGTAATTGTTATGTAGCAACAGAAAACCTACCTATCTATGAATAACCCACATGCTGATTACAAATAGTTTTTATTATTCATTTAAACCAGATATCCAAAGCCATTTATTTCCCAAAACTTTAAAAACATTTCATAAAACCTTGTTGGTATAATTCTCCATCAGTATCCCAAGTGAACCTCGGGTTCTGGTATAGATTAATCAGTTTTTTACTTTGACCAATGGAATATTGTTCACCAAAGCTTAAGGTCCGTTCTAGCAATGGCCCACAGAGACAAGTCATCTAACAGTCCGTCTAGTGGATCTTTGTGGATATTTTATGATATTATTTGGGTTATGAATTAATAAGTTATTTCTGCTGCTTTTAAAAGCCATTGAGTCTCATTAAAAGACTTTATCTAAAACAATTTTATCTCATCAAAGGAATTTATTCTTCTCCCATAAATTTGGCAAAAGCTTTTAAGGTACCAGGAGAGAATGGGCAGCCTAGGTAGTCTCTGGATATTTTTGCCACCTGTAAAATAGATCAAAAGATTTCAGAATTACATCTTCCTGCGTAGGAGGAGTGAGACAGAGAAGCTAAAACCCAAGTAATTACCCCTCAACACAGGAGACGTGCCATCAGGGGTATCGTCCAAAGAGAATCGTCCTGAATCTCAGTGATGCATCCTGAGAGGCCGGCTCCGTCTCCTCGGGCTGCTGAGTTCTGAGAACACCGACCCAGCAGGAACTGGGAGGCCACAGAAAGACACGCTCCCAAGCCAACGTGGGTCGGGTCTGGAGCGTGGCCACCCTCAATTCCACGTGCTCCTTTAACTAGCGCAAATGATCAGAGCCAGCGATATCTGCAGAAGTCCTCGCCATGACTCATTTTCCTCAAGGAAGAATCCAATCCACCATTGTAGGCTATAAAATGAAAGAAATCAAACTCTCATCAAATTGTTGCCGAAAGGCCAAAGAAAAACAGGCTCCAGAGGCTGTTCCCCAGATCTTCCAGCATGACCCACACCAGGGAGTCCCCGGCGGCCTGGAGAGAACCCCTTCCCTCCGCCTGCTCCTGTGCCCAGCCGCTCACTCCCCCCCCCCACGACTCCTGCCTGACCAYGGTGAAGCCCCAGGAACTGCTGTATCCTGCTTGTGGTGCTAGTCACAGGCTAGTTAATACCCGCAGAACTTTATACCCCACAAAGTGAATTTTACCATAAGTTTAAGAAAATAGAATTTTTAAAAAAATCTCCCGCATGAAAACTTAGTTGGAATTATCAACTGGGATCCATGGTCAACCTCCATTTAGATCAGTGCACTTAATTAAAAATTCCTCTGAATTCAAAGAGAACACTCAGACCCAAACAGCCAAACCTAAAGTGCATTCTGCTGCCAAAATCCAGACGAATCCACAAAGATTGCCAGAGAGAGCTGCACCCCTGGTTCTGTCTCCATGGGTGCTCAAAGTGCAGCCCCAGGCAGCTCTAGCAACCAACCCCTGGAGCATGTTCTAGAACCTCCAGTCCACAGTACCTTGCACTGAGGTGGACCCCCTCCACCAGAGAAATCATCAAGGTGGGAAAGACTGCACAACCCTGCAGCCTTCAAAACATTCCCCAAGACTTGCGAACTTGAGGCCCTGGGGGACGGCCTGGTTTATAAACAGGAGCTGTGTTCTAGCTTTGGTCAGGGGAGGGGAGTTTAGGAGACGCAAGTACAGAGTGTCTGGGAGAGGGTGAAAGGTGCTCCTGTGTCCCAAGGAGAAGCCATCGATGGCAGCGACACCCGCTATTAGAAACCTGAGGGCTCCCTGGCCTGGGGAAGGTCCTAGAACAGAAAGAGGAACAGGAAACCTCTGGGGTTCAGACGGTCCTGGGCTCTGGACTGTGGGTCCTCAAGGCCCAGAGAATTCTGAGACTGTCACTAGCCACAAGTAAACAAAGTGCTGTCTGTCGATGTTCTCTGTGACTCGGTCTGTCCACCACTCGGGGCTGAGAGCCTGCGGGCAGTGCCGTCCCCTTGGGGCAGGCTGCCACTAAGCAGGCCACGCTGCCCAGCTGGATGCAGCTTGATGTCAGATCAAGAGACACCACTGAAAAACAGCCAGATCTAGGCCCTCTGTGCCAAGATCCCTGCTCTTCTCCAGCTGTGATCATTTCAGGGAACTCCTGCCGAAGCCACAGCGGCTCCCTGGTCCCATCCACCCACAACCTCCCGCCCTCTCTACCTTCAGCTCCCTATGTGCCCTGGGCCGTCCTCCCAGGACGGGTCCACTCTCCCTCCCACAGCTAGGACACACACATTCACTTCAGAGGTGCCTTTGGCTGGTTCTCAGACGTCTGCTTTAATACGGATCTTGTGAAATTCTTAGGCAACCTTCTGGGAGCCAGTCGATATCTTCTCAGGTCTCACTGCAGTATCTTCTCATCATCGGGAGAAAATGAGGATAAAAGAGGCATGAACCCGTCACTGCTGAAACGTCTCGAGATCCTTCACTGACTGACTTGAGTCAATCGAGACCGACTCTGCCCCCTTCTGCAACACCGGACGCCTCCCATTGGGGCTGGTCCTTAGGGGCGGGCCAGCTCCTCACCACCGTCCTGTGGCTTCCTGGGTGGTCCCGATGCTTCAGTTAGCGTGGGTGCCTCCTCTCTGGGGAGGGGGGTGGAATGGGAGAAGCCACTTCAGGTCAGCATTAGCATCCCTTCCCGTCCCAAGATCCTGGGACGCTTTCACAGGTGCTAGCCAGCCTGTGTCCTGATGGCAGAAACAGGAGCTGTTGTGATTCATGTTGGAGCCCTGCATGCCCTGGAGCCCCAGGACAAAAGATGATGATCAACAGGACTTGGTGAGGAAGTCAAATGCCCAGGTGGGTCCTGCTCCAGGCTGCAGCCCCACCCTCTGTCGCTCTGACGGAGGAGGGTCAACTCAAGTACTTTATTTATTTATTTTTGCTGTGCTGGGGATCAAACCTGGGACACTCACATGTGCTAGGCCAGCACTCTGCCGCTGAGCTACATGAACTCTGGTAGGCACCACGTGTATGCACTGTGTGTATGCCAGGCTGCTGGGCATCCAGGGACATGAAGGCTCCTAGGACCAGGGACTGCCTGTGTCCACTGGGACTAGTTCAGCAGCATGTGGGGGAAAGCCTAGAATAACTGAGACTCAAACACAAGAAATGTCATTCTCCTGCACAAAAGGGATCTGTGGGGACCAAGTCTGTGATCCAYGTGAGATCCACGGGACTGAGACTCCCTCCAACTTCCTGCTGTGCCTTCCCCAGGGCTTGGCTCCCACACCAATGGCTCAGGACGATCACAACAGTCTAGATGCTGCGTAAACTCCAGGCCCCCTGCTCTGCCAGCTGGTTACCGCTAAAGAGCCCCTTGGGCCCCAGGCAAACGCTCACCTAGACTTTAAGGAGTCAAGGGGCATGGGAAGTGGGTAGGCTGAAGGGGGTGCACTGCCGCCCTCCACGATACAGGAGTTCTGTTGTTGGAATGAGAGGGACGCGGCTGGGTGGACGGCCTGCAGCGGGGGCCACATGTCCCGCCCATCCTGTGGAGGAGGCCCTCAAGGGCTGCTGGTTTGACCGTCAGCCACAGGTGACCTGCTTACAAGTGGCTTTGCTTTTTGCATGGGTAAGAGGGCATCTCCACTATGGCAGGTAAGAGGGCTGCTCCCAACTCTGTGAATTAGGAATTGCCAAAGATAGTCTTCTCTTGATACTAAGGCTCTGTGTAAAAATGAAAACACGTCCCTTCAGTTTTCAGAACCATGACGTCTGGGTTGGATTAGAGATGGAACTCATGTCGGTGAATCTCCTGCACAGGGTCACCTGGATGGAGATGGTGGCATCTGAGAGTGGGCCAGGGCAGGCTCCCCCCAGGCTACCTACCGCCCACTCTCTCCAGAGGGAGGCCGACTCTGACGTTCCCCCAGCTGAAGAAAGGTGGTCTGTGGACCGTCTTCTTGTCCAGTCCCCACGTTGATAGAAATTCCTTGTCAGTAAGGCAAGGAAATGAGGGGCAAAGGGACTTCCTAATTCCAGAGGCAGACAGAGTAAGACTAAAAATAGGGGCTCAACTCAGCAGAGCCAAACTACTGGGGGACGGAGAACACCCACACTGCAAACCCAAAGCTGGAAATTCTGAACAGATTCAGGTACCCACGAAGTCGGTTGTCTTTTTCTTACTGTGGTACTGAGGGTCACCCAGGGCTGGCAAAGATTCTCTGCATCTGGCCCCGTCTGAGCCTGGTGAGATCTATGAAGTCACTAGTTTAACTCGACTGCTCCTTGGAAGCTGCTTGCTGATCAGGAACACACGGTGAGGGGAATAGGAAAGACCCTGAGGCACGTTCCCACCATCTCCACCCCAGGACGGTCTCCTCCCCAGGATGGTCTCCACACCAGGACGGTCTCCACACCAGGACGGTCTCCACACCAGGACGGTCTCCTCCCCAGGACGGTCTCCACACCAGGACGGTCTCCTCTCCAGGACGGTCTCCACACCAGGATGGTCTCCACCCCAGGACAGTCTCCACCCCAGGACATATCAGTGAACAGAGATGAAGTCCGTGACTGAGGGCTCACAGGAGTATCTCTGAGGCTTGCCCACGCCCAGAGGATCAGCTTAAATTCCTCTACCCTCTCTCTCCTCCCTTTAGAGCTGGAACATCCAGGACCCGGAGATGCTCAGTGAAGGGCCCAGTGTGGCTCAGCGAATCCCAGGAGACATGTGCAGACCCCTCCAGAGGCTGTTGGTCACCTCCATCTGTTGACCAGGACTGTGATCCCATCAAACAGGATGGAACGCAACGGGAGTGGGCCACGCAGGCCGCGTCTGCTCCCTTCCACTTAAGGGTTCCTGGGACCAGAGAACTCTGAAAAAGTCAGACTGGGTCTATCAAAGGGCATCCTGAAGTGACTTACACTCTTTTATTCCTGCCAAGAGCCAAGTGATGAAGCTGTACGGGACCAAAATACCCGTGTCTGTGTCCAGTGGGGTGCGCCGGGGAGGAGCCTACTCCAGCTCACCCCCCAGAGGTCCCAGCTGCCACCTCCTCAGCACAGGAGACAGCTGTGGTGGCTCTGAGGGGAGGGCCAGGCGTGCACGGGCGGTGCAGGCAGGCTCGGCTCTGCCACCGAAGGAGCCTCACCGTGGTTGGCCTGCCTCGGTCTCAGCCTGGGCCTGGTTTGCCTGCCGGCCATAGATGGGGTCCGTCTCACTTACGCTGCCCTCAAAAGGAGCGAGCTTTACAAGCAGTTAAAACTAAGGATCAGATGGTCCCACCCTTCTGCAGATCAGCAGCGACCGTCTGATTGCTGAAATTTAAGTGCAAGACACTCTGAAGGAGTCTAGGTGGACGTGCGACTCCAATGTACGTGACCCTCCAAACTTCAGATGTTGGGACTTCGACCCCAATGTGACAGTGTGAAAAAGTGGAACTCCAGGGCTGGGTGTGGTCAGTGGTAGCGCTCGCCTAGCACGTGTGAGGCACTGGGCGCCATCCTCAGCACCACATATAAATAAGTAAAGGTTCATGGAAAACTTAGGAAAAAAAGTGGGACTCCCAGAGAGGTTCAGTTATGAATGGGATTGGCAACCTTTGGAGAAGTTTGGAGGCGCCAGCTAAGCCTTCTCCCCTCAGTCCATCCACCCCGTGAGGACGCGGTCTGCATCCACCCAGAGGTCACAGCCAGAGGTGCCATCTTGGAAGCCAAGTGCAGCCCTCACCAGACACGGAACCTGCCAGAGCCTTGTCCTGAGCTTCCCGCTCCAGAGCTGTACAAAATAGAGACCTGCTCTTGATAACTGCCCAGCCCCAGGTGTTGTGTCGCAGCAGCACTAGGAGGAAGTCAGAGAAGAGCGCACTGGATAAAGTTGAAAGGAGAAAATAACTCATTCAAAATGCAG